GCTGACTGGTATCTTCGTCGTCGTTGCGTCGGTCTTCGTCAGCCATCGTTGTGCTGCCACGCCCCCGGCTTACAGAGGGCAATGGGGAGGTTGTGATCGCCGACTTTTGGCAGTCAGCCTCAGTCTCCCAACATCCTTCGCGGCCTTTGGTAACCCGGGAGACGACCGAGCCGGTATGATTTTCGATGGCGTCTATACCATGAGTGGCAGGTGGCTGAATTTTGCGGAGATTTGCCACGGTCTCCAACGCTCCGCCTTTCTCCTCCGGGCTTGGGACCGGCCATGGCGGAGTTAAGAGGATTAATTGTTTTAAATTTAGCTGCAATACTGATAGCTCAAAAAGTAAAATTTCAAATAATAAATCTACCGTTTCAAGAAACGTTTAGTGAAAAATTACAAAAGCTACTTCACACAAACTACAATATTAATGTTTTAAATAAAAGCTTCAATGAACTTAGCGTTTTGGTGACTAATTCTCATAATAACAACTTTTAGACTAAATTTGAAAGGTACATTGCAACTGCTGAAAATGCAATCAGGAAAAACTGGAAGCACGTCACCCAATGAACGAAGGTCAACAGACAAAGGAGAGAACCCCAAACGAACGTGAATGACATGATGCAGCAAACCCATTGCAACGAAAACAAATCCTACTTTGCTAACACGTCAAAGTATGATGTGAAAACCATCGTGATTCATGCAGCACGCGGCAGCAATACGCTATGTCCTTGAATAGTTGGTTTGCGAGTGCATCATTAAAGAAAGAAACTGGTTCGGCGGACGAATCAAAGGAGCCTTTACCATTAAATCTTGCGAAAATGTCAACCGGGACAAAGGATACAGACACTGCACAAATTGGATAAGCTTTTTGAGGGCCGTGGACAAAACAACTCCAACAATCAGTGTGGGCCAGAAAAATACCCTTGTTTCAAAAGCCACAATAGCTGCGGAACATACATCCAGCTGAGGAAATTAATTCGGATTAGCCTGAAAAATTGACCGCTCTATTGGTTTTATATAAATATGTGTTTTTCAGCACATTTCAGTTTTTTTAATTACTTAAATGGTAAAGGTTCCGATTCAGGAATTGCTTAACCACTGCTGAATGCGGAATAAGTATTCACAATCTCATTACCTGGTGTTTACTTCTGGTGTAATTGTCCTATTCTTTTGGATGGCGAGTTCACGTTCTTCTCATTTTGAACGTTACCTAAATTACGGGACAGTTGCAAATTTTGTTATAAAGTTTTGTCAAGAGAAATTGGCTGATAAGTGCACTACAGCTGCCTTCAGCACCATCCACGTTTCAGAAATTTTTTATCGGTTGTGATGATTTGGAGGCTGATATGATTCATTCCTGACAAGTTATGAACAAATAATTTTTTAAGGTAGAGCGAATTACACCTTACGCCTTCACTATAAAAAGATAACATTTATTAAATGAATAAGTATTTTCGTCAGTACGAAAGCATTGCTCTTCGATGGCTTGCAACTGATATGCGTTCAAATGCTTTCTCGTTTCTTTTGTTGCAGCTCTTTCCTGACTTAACGTGTATTCTTCACGGCTTAATTAAAAACATGTTGAAACAGTTGTCAGCACGTTATCTAATAAAGATTGCGTAAATTGAAGATGCTTTTGCGTAGTTATTTAGTACACTCCCAATGCCGTTAATCTTATAGAGCCAGTTGCATCAACTGTATCAATGACAAAGACAAACAGACATTAATGAAATGTAGATTTTGGAGCATGTATCCTCGGTTTTTTTTAATGCTAACGTCGTAACGTTTGCTCATCATTTTGCAGCATCCCGTAGAATTTCCTTTCGGTTAAACACCCAGAGCTGCCGTTGTTCCTTTAGGAAACATACGGTACAGTGAATGAATGAACCTTGAAAGGCGACCGTTTCCATATTTTTTGATTTACTTTTTTCGGCACTTGACATTTCGGGATAATTTGAGAAAGGTGCAAACTTTATTATCACACGCAGAGTAATATCCAGGCGTTCTAATCAAACTGTAACTTCCTCAATGTATTTGCTTTAGAGTAGTTCAAAGTTGCCACTGCCTCAGTATTCAGCCGTTCAGAGGATGAGGTCACACCTACAAGCTTTTTCTATACCTGAGAACTGTTGATTTCGGAACCCCGATATCTAGCCACCAAATTTTGACCTCCATTTCTATTCTTATCCTTTATTCGAGGCATAAAACCATCGAACTGTGGAAATTTTTAATTGATGAACAGAATATCCATTAATCGTTTTCAAACAAATTTTGAAAGCAACGAAACACCAGAGTCAAATTCAATGCAACAGCTGCGTCATAAAATTCATCAGCTTTCTTCGACAGCTTTTGAAGATTTCCTTCTAAAGAAATAAAATTTATTTACATAAGTTGCTATCACGTTTCAATTTTGACGCTACGCAAATAATTGCACTTTGCGTATTGGGCCGATTAACTGCGCACCTCTTCATTGCCATAACAAAGAACGTTGGCTCACGGCCGGATAATAGATTGAAGAAACCCCAACAGGAAATGAGAAAAATTGCATCAATCGTGACTTGAAAAATTAGCATAAAATTTGAGTCAATTATAGTAGTCGAGTTTATATACCTCTGAATTGAGGATTACATCTGTTGTTGGTTCGAGGACCGAATGTCAATGAAAAATGGCGCATTTGTTGATTGACCCAATGCATAAACAACATTTTGCTCCTCAATCAATGGCAGAAACGGCTTAAGAGCTTGAGAAACCTTGGCTTAAGATTTGATATTTAGAGCAAACAACGGAGTTTCTTTTAACTAGAAGAAATTGTTGATGATTATAAAAATTTTTATAAACGATCGTCGTTTTAGGTTTCAAATGTTCTATTACTATTGCGATGGCTTGGGCACGTGTTGCGAATGCCTCCAGAAAGGAAGGCTAAACAACTGTTCCTTACAAATCC